GGAGGTATTTTAGTTTATTTTGCACAACTTGTGAGGTAGAATATAGCCCCTTGTAGTGAACATACACTGTCCTCACAGCACGTAGCTATGTGTAGCAAGAGCTAACAAACAGCTAAAATAAAAACAAGATTCTTAACCTAAAGGTTGCTTTTTTATCTGAAGATCTTCATAAATGTTTTATCACTAAAGCTGCAATATACAGGAAAAGAAAAAAAGGCACGTCTTAGTGTCACACTTAGAGAGAATGAGATTCAGCTGACAAAATACCGTTTCTTATTACTAACCAAAATTTGTAGTAAAATGTTTAAAATGTAAGCATGTGGGAAAGGAGACATGTGATGCTAGTAACCTAAAATGTTATCATCTTCTATTTTTATGAGAAGGGGAACCCACATATATCGATATTGTTTTAAATATGTATTGAAAACAAAGAGTCAGACAATATCGGAATATTGGATATAGGTAAAAAAAAAAAGGCCAATATCGAGCATCCCTAATTTTAATGAAGTAGGGAGAAAAATGTTTCTATGATTATTGAAAAAAATCCATTGTAAAGCTATATGTATAACAGGATGTGAGACACTCTTATTCACAACCATATCCTGTATGTTTAATCATCACAACACAACAAGCTACATGTGTGTTGTTAGTTAATTGCCCGCAACTAATGATCATCTGCTGCTCATCCACAACTTCACGGTTAACTGAGATACCTGCAGCAGATCCTGGACCAGCTGCAGAGCTGAACTCTTACAGCAACATCCCCCCCCCCCCCCCCCCCCCAAAAGAGTTCCTTTATTTGATCATCTATGAATCATCATGTTGAAATCGATGTCACACCAGATAAATTCACACATTCTTCATCCCATTCAGCTGCATTTTGCTGACCAGTGCTTGTGTTTCTGACTTGAACTGGTTCTTTGATGTTGGCTAGTGCCTTTACTATCACAGCTTTACTAATAAGCCTAACAGCTTTGGGTCATTATTGCTCTCGCTTATCTTCATGGAGGCCTTCTCACGCTTAAACATGAGTATCTTGGCTCATGAGCTCTGCATTCCCTGTCTCAGGGATTTTATTTCCAGAAACATGGAGATGGAATTCCTTTAACCCTCAAACACAAAGCAAAACAAGGAAGTAGAGGAAGGTGGGAAAACTTGACCTTCACTTGAGCCATCTTAAAAAATACCCCCCCCCCCCAAATACCACACACACACCTTTTGACCTTTGACTATAGGGACTAACGCCCACCAGCATCACTCTATCTTATCATTTTGTTCCCTCTCTCCTCATTGAATCCCTCTTCTTCTTCTATCTCTTTATCTCCAACCCTCTCTTCTCATTAAAGATTCAGCACCACACCTTGTTTCCCATGGGTCATAAAAAGAAGGAGAGGAAGAGAGGAATGCGAGGGTAAAAAAACAAAGACGTGGAAAGACAAATAGGGAAGGAAAGGGAGAGAAGAAGAAAGACAAACAAAAGAGGAAACGATGCATTTGGTTGTGCGTGTGGGTGAATAGAAAGAGGCGGCAAGCAAGAGCAAACAAGAAGGAACAGAAAAATGCACTAAAAACTGAGAGAAAGGGGGGAACAAGTACATAAAGACAAAGAGAGGGAGAAATGAGAGAAAGATGGAGAGCAATAGAGAGAAACATAGAGATGTATGCAGAGAGATTGGCAGGGGGGAGACAGAAGAGAGGGAAGTGATGCTTGGGCGGCCCGGGCGACGCAGACTGCGTTTGAAATTCTGCTCACAGCCAAAGCAATTTCCTGGCGGTGGCTGTGCTGTCAGCTGCTTGGCTGGCTGGCGGTGAAATATGGTGGCTGGGAGTCGGCCGCTAGCAGCCCCCGACAACCTGATGGATGGAGCCCCAGAGGAGAGGAACAGCAGCAGGAGAAGGTGGGGTTTGGAGGAGGCGAGCAACAACAAAAAAACAAATGAAGGAAAAAAAAAGAACAAGAGAGGAGAAAAGCAAAATGCAGCCAAGTGAACAGCGGTGGTCGTGTGAGTTCGACAGAAGGAGAAATACACAGCAAGACAAAAGGCAAGAGGTAAATAAAGAATGAAAATAAAAGGAGGAGGGCTAAAGAAAAGGAGGAGAGGGAGGAGATGAGGGAGAGCAGGTAGTAAAATCCAGGTCTATTAGAGAAAAAGGAGGGTGAAGAGTGGCTGCCAGGGTCTTGTCTAGGGAAACCAGCCTAACAATCACCCAGGAATCCCCCTCTGGTGGAGAGGAAGGGATGGGAGGAGGAAATGTTAAAAGCAGGAGATAAAGGTGGATGGAAGGGAGAAAAAGTAGAAAAGAGAGAGAGGACAGAGAGCATGCTGAGCTGAATTATTTACCAGTTATTTCAGGGACATTCATTTGTATTTTACTTTACTAATTGTTCTAAGATTCCTAAAATGTTGAATAAACTCCACCTCGAAAAGATTGTAAAGTGCACTTTTTTTCCATGTCTCAGCTGCTACTTTTAAAGGGGACATTTTATGCAAAACTCACC